ACAAATGACAGCCAAAGAAAACCAAAAGCTTAGCCAGCCCCCTGAGGGGGAGACATACTAGGGGTACCCCCACCATACGARCCTTCTTGTCTAGTAAAATTTTCTTTTGCAAGAGTTACATMTGAATGTCTGTTGGCATGTTAGTAACACATTAGTCACTTAGGAATGACTGACTTATAGTAACTAAATAGATCCTAGAAATTAGATCCTGCACCTGGCATCAAATCACCTTAATCTGGGGGGCAGAACAAATGACTGAATAGTCATTATGGTTTCATAAAGTTTTTTAGAGAGATTTACACTCCCTTGTGACATAGAATGCATTGTCTTGTCCTCCAGTTGGAGCTGCAGTCCCACACATTACATGATGTCTATTGCTATCTGAGCTCAAATCTATTGTTTTGCCCCTCAGATGGAAGATCAAGGGGTCTATGTAGCAATAGCCATAGAAAAACTTCATGTAYGTAGAATACAATTACTAAAAGTAAAATGTGTAAGTTAGCACCATTTAGTATCAAATGATGCCAATTGAGCAATTMTTGATAACTATAGATACTGATGAAGATTCATTTACACAGGTGCTATAGTGAAAAAATATTAAACTTTTCCCAAAGTTTAACTTTTTTTTCACAAAAACAATGGGATTAGYATTTTTACAATGTGCTATTTATGTTGTACACTTTTAGTCTTTGTACTGTGGAGTGAACTCATTTAATACATGAAACAAAACTAGTAAAATAAGCGCTTATTTATGCTAGTTCCTTTGTTTCTTATTGTTTATTAATCAACACTATTTAGCAGTAATTAGTTATATTTGTTTCACTGATTTAGCAAAACCATGACATCATTTGCCATCTTTTGCAACATTTGAAAAAATTATAGAGTGATTGCACTTAGCTGTGCAACAGTACAAACTAAATAGTGCTATTTAGTTGTATTTAGTAAATCGCGCATGCGGTAGAGTGAATGCACTTAATCCGTGCAACTGTACAAACTAAATAGTGCTATTTAGTTGTATTTAGTAAATCGTACATGCGGTACACAAATTAAATTGAATTGATACAAATGAAGCATTCAATACCGTCTTGCTTCGGGTCCACTTTTAGTCCAAATTAGTACTACTTAGATTTTGTACAGTTGAACGGTTCAAGTGCGATCACTCTAATAAGAATCAAAAGAGGAGACATTGACTTGCCAAATTTGCAATTGTTTCACAGTCTTTAGTGTCAAATACTGTCACCTTTTCCTGGCTGCAATTATTGGGTACTTTTGAAATTTCTCTGCTTTCAAAACAGTTATCCCTACTTTTAAACTTGTCAGGCTTTTATTTATCTCATCAATTGAGAATGCGTTTGCTTAAGATTTTGGTGTAGATAGAGAAAGTAATATAGAAATGGGAATGGAYACAATGTTCTGCGAGACAAAACTCTTAAAAATAGCTATAGCTGATTGTGACRGATTGATTTTTTTTAATGGAAAAGCTSTTCTCTGCCAATTTTGGAAACARCCTAGCCATGAACTCCTAAATTATTAAATTCAAGCTTGATATTGAATGCACTCAATCTGGGAAATTTTACTAACTACTTTGTACTGTTTTGTGCAATCTAGTAAACTAGTGTTCATAGATAACAATGGTGATTCAAATGAGTTTMAACTTCAGTTGTAAAGAAGTGCAAGTTTTAGCCATTTTCATTTTGTATAATTTCAAAGATTAAATGCATTCACTCTACTTCAATGTGACGCGAGTAGCCCCATATTTTGAGAGTTATAGACAGTTTATTTGTAACCCAGTTGAGAAAACTTCCAAGACATTTTTTGAACAGTAAGGTTCGGAGGTCTTAGGTAATTTTTTTTTTCTTTCACAAGATTTTGTAGTGACCATATTTCACTTGAGATTATTCCCCTTACCTAGAAACGTGTTTGGTCACAAGTGTAGACAKAATTACTTTGAAGACAAAAATATAATTTCTCTTGTTTCCGTATTATTTCTTTGTTCCAGTTGTTAAATAAGACCCTTAAAATCCTTAATGCATAAGTTGATCAAAAACTATATTCTCTCTTGAAACCTAATAGGATTGTATTGAGAATATAGACTCACAATGAGCCTTTTGTTTGTAAAATCTCTAAGTAAAGTAGTTTCATGTACAAGTAGACTAGTGGAAATTGTTAAATAAGGTTTTTCATTTGCAACTTTCATGTTCACTTACATGTACAATGTATAGCATTTCATTTTTATATTGTAATTTATGGTTTTCTTGTAATGTCTGCAATAACAATAAACTGTTTTTGACACATACCTAGCTTTTTTTTCTATTATGACAATTTACTGGTAGTTGACTAGCAGATTTGCAAATTTTGCCTCGGTAGTCAGACACAAAAGAATCAAGACAAGGTGCCACACATGCAAGGGATTTATGCATGGCATCTTGTCTTGATTCCTTTGTGTTTGACTACTGAGACAAAATTTGCAAGCCCACTATTGAACTGAATAAGTCCAGTGTTTACTTTTCCAGCTCGAGGACAAGTCCCTCTTTGGAGCAGAGAGGGAATGGGGTGAGAGCTATAGCTGTTACTTTAATAAACAAAACAAAATTTGAAATATTTTGCATTCATAATACATCAGAAAGAGTTTACTACACTTCATTAAATAAAGCCAATGTCGTCAACTGGTTCATTACTTTTGTCTAGTAAAATTTGTATGTTGTCGCTTTCCTGTGGTTCATTATTAGCTTCATTCTCTTGTGTTTTCTCATCGGAGTAATCCTTTGATGGATTTTTTACTGAAGAAAAATAAAGAATAATTAATTGGTGTTTTATGTGTTGAATTGCTGGCTAATCCATTTAAGGTCAACATGCATCCAAAAGCCTTTGCAATCATTTCTTTACAAATGATCTCTTGTTGAAAGTTGCTTTCTGATTGGTTCAAAATCAAAGATGGCAAATGTTTGTATGTGAGAAAATCTGTGCACACCAAGGTTCTTGTATACACCTAATTGAAAAAACGTAGTGTGTTCAAAAAGGTCATATCATAGAAGCTAAGACCGAAAGGGATTTTGAGTACCACTAAATTGGGATTACATTTGCATATACGGTGTACCGTAAATCATATAGAGCTAGTAAGATTAACAGAGCTGTTTGGTATGAAATTAGCCAAATTGTTTGTCTTCCTAAGTACCCTTTCGGTCTTAGCTTCTATGATTTGACCTTTTTGGACCCGACAACGTTTCTTCAATTAGGTGTACATGTACATGTACATGTAGACCTGTCTTTAAATTACAGTTTTTGCTTATTCCTCAGTCGACTAGTATTTCATTCATTTATTCATTTTTCAAGCAAATCATTCATCTGTTCATTCATGTACCTTTATCACCAGGAGGTATTCCACATAGAACCATATAGTGTGTTTTATCCATCTTGCTTGTTAGAATACGTATAGAAGTCTTGGCTTTCCAGCCACAAAAGTGTAAAGCACAGTCTATTGTATCTGTTTGGGAACTAAAATGACAAGAAACTTAAAATCAAATGGCATAATAGAAGTGTTACTGACAATAGCCCCTATAAAATCTGTTTGTGTTTTCTCTGCAGAAAAAGGCTCAACTACTTTTTGGCGTGTTTGGACATGAAGAAAATAGTGTAAAGACTCCTAGCGAATTTTCCTTTGCCACCTCCCTTGTGAAATAAAAAAAAAATTCATTCAAGCCATTCATAGCAAATTGCATTCCTTTRCATTTACCTGTATGGTCCTTTTGGATCATAAACAAACAACACACAACCTAGTCCTAAACAATAAAAAAAAATTAAGATTTACAGTACATTTTATACTTCTCCATGCTTCAGTAATCATTTGTAGTTGTGTAGTGGGGTGGGTATGGGGGAGAAAATTGAAAAAGTGTGCTCCAGCGGGGTGGGGGTGGGGGTATGCATCCTAGTGCCCCTTATAATGCTGTCACTCTCTAAACCAACTCATTTTCTGACTTCTTTTGCCATTCACTCACCAGGAATGTCCTTTAATTGATCTCTTGTCGTCTGGGAGAATTTGTTTGTAAAGGGTTTGTCGTGCTCAAGAAATATGTACACATCATCTTGCGTGATTTGAACTTTCCTTTTTGTCACATAAGGATATATACTGTCAATTCCCTTGGAAAGAAATAATTTAAATGTAAGTAATACACAAGAAACTAGAAATTCAAAAGATTTGAAACAACTGATGAATTTAGTACCTTGAATCAATATATGCCATGATATCTATTGTGTGCAACAGTTATGAATTATTATATTATTTATTATTTTTTCATGGGGTAAACTAGACTGCATGATAAATGTCAGAACGGTTTTGTTTCAAGAGCGCTAATATCTACCACTCATACAAACTATAAATTTACATGTAATTATTAGATTGTACCTCTTGCATGATCCTAAATTCACACCCTTCTTCACTAGAATCACAKCGTCCAAATACCTTGACTCCACAGTTGATAATCTAAACACCAGACAGTGAACATTATCAATATATTAATTTTCAAATAACACTCACTGAAATCAAGTCAGTGATTGGACATCACTTCAAAACAAGTCCTATACCTTTATATGATCGTCAACACATTCCAAAACCTGYTTGACAGGTTTTGAAACAACATAGATGCTTCGTTTCTTGCCACTTATTGTACGGACAAGWAGCTGATCTGATGGAAATGATGAATCTATTCCATAAAAATCTCTGCAACATTAATTGTGAAAAAGATACATCAGAAATAAAATGGAATATAATTTAGCATACAAATAATGAACATAATGGGATTGAATGAAAATGAAGGTGGGACTATATTAGAAATAGATGGATGGAATGGAAACTAGAGAGGAACAATATCTTAGGACTGGGAAGTACAGCCAGTGATCCAGCCAAAACACAGGGCAGGWAACAGAGAAACAAAACAACCACTTTAGAACAAGGAAAGACATAATTTTCAACAGAGCACAGCAAAGACTGTTTAAAAGAACATCAAAATTTACAGCACATCTGGACAAGACACAAAACAACAAGACACATATTGTACAAGCTATAAGACAGGGAAACCACAGACAACAAAYACAMCAAARCACACCTGGAATGCAACAAACCAACCACACAGACAGTTTCATAAACACAGTAAAGAGMRCTTACTTAATTGCCAGCCATACAGGGTCAGCRYCAGGAAGCAACACAAAAGGGTCCTCTTTGAATCCTTGATCCATCTTTGGYTTCTTCTTGGGTGGTTTCATTCTAATAATWAAGTGCAAGTTACTCAAAAGCTTGACTGTTTTAGAATGTCAAAAGGATGACAGAAGAAAAACATATACATGTATCGCATACTATTGGGAACAATTGTTTGGCCAATTTTGGCAACGACCGTTTGGAAACAATGCCTTACATTGCAATTGGAAAATGTTGGAAATTGTGTCAAAAATGGGCTGTTTATATGTGGCTACTCAATGTAACATTGCCATCTGTGCTTACTTTGATTTGTCATCAGCCTCCTTGTTGTCATTGTCATCTAAATCTCTCTTTCCTTGAGTTACATCTTCACCTTGTTCATCATCTTTGGACTTCTYATCTTTGGACTTCTCATCTTTGGATGTCGATGTCTCATCTTGTGAAGTGTCCAAAGCTTCTTCTGACACAGTATCTTCCATATCTTCTGCTTCTGCTGATTCTCCTTCACCATCATCTTTAGCTTTCTGTTATTGGATGGATGGGAGATGCATGAATGAATGAGAGAATGAATTTGGATAATGTGAAGTATGAATTCATGATCACATGTTGATAAATGATTGGTTGATTGACTGATTGAGTGTGTGATTAATTAACTGATCAGATTGATTGATTGATTGATTTATTGACTGAATGATTGATTGACTGGTAAAGAAATCACCAATAGCTTCTTACAGGTGGTTGTCCATCAGCTTCAGTCTGCCAAGGCAGCCATCTTGGATTATCATTAAACCTCTTCTCGTTCTCCCATGGAGCACACTTCTTCTTCACAAGAACAGCAATAAAGAACCCTCCCGTGTCTTGTTGGTGAGGATAAACTCTTATACTATTAAGAAATACACATAAGATCTTTATCATTACATATTAAGAGGGACTGTTACACAAGTATATCATGGATTTACCATCGATTAATATTCATGTCTTTAAGCTGGTCTTCTGGTAAAGGAAAATGAGATGGTCTAAAGCATCCCTTGAAAGCCTCTGAACCAGGCTCACAACTAGTGACTTCTTCACCATTCTTCATCATCAACTAAAAGTATAAAACAGGTGAAACAAAAACAACTTAACAATACTAAAAATACTATTAATTTAATTAAGTGTGTATGTTCAACTAACCTTCCATGTCGACAGGCCTGGAGATTTTTTCAAGTTGGGTAATTYGTTTGAAACAGCAACCAGCTCAATGCTATCTGATAAGCCAAAAATACATAAATTATAAATCCCAGAAAGTCTAATGCAGCATAATATTAAGGAAAAATCAATTCAGGTCATTGACCATTTCTTACCACCACTGTGTTTCAATAACTGACAGATAACAGCTTCATTTTCTACAGGATTTAGGGAGCATGTAGAATAAACAATACGACCACCAACCTCAAGCATTTCAACGGCTCTAGCAAGAATTCTCATTTGAATCCTAAAATACAAAGAGACAATATTCTCTAGTTAATGATGTAGTTATTTGTRTTATATGTAGTTATTTTGTATTATTAAATATCAAAAGCATAGCAAGAAAAACGAAACAGTCAATGAGCAGAAAGACAAAATGTTCAACATTTGACTGATTACACTTTTYATGAGACCAACTATTATGTGTATTCACTAAGTGAAAATTTTGTGCTCATTAAATAATTGTTTACCACCAATTGCACTATCTGAATGACAAGTACATGTACTTAGCTACTACAGTAATTTATGAAATCTTACCTATGCAAACTAAGTCCCGTCTGTGGTGTCCATTTATTCCATATTAAATGATTTTTTCTCATTGTACCATCACCACTATGAGACATAAACATTCAT